TGATGGCTGGGTGGGAATTGATGGGAGCCACGACACTGGCAATGGTTTGAATTGAGTTTCAGCTGATAGAAAGTAGAACAGGGCAGGCCAGCCAGACACACACTGAATGAGCCAAGTCTCAAGGTAGCAGGCGGAGATGAGGGATTCAGCACAGCTGATGAAAGAGTGGAGTCCAGTGATATTACAGAGGTGGAACTAAGTGCTGTAACTGTTAGAGAATTCTTGGTATCAGAAGATCAGCTCGTGGTGAAATATGGGAAGACTCCAACAGTCTGGGTCAGCTTCAGGTGGTGTCCAGGGAGAGCAATGACGTCTGAGCTCAGGATGAGAGTTTGTGGTGGCCTTAGACATTCGTTTTGACCTTTGCAATGTTTTATTTGAGCAACTTCTGCTCCACTGGTGCTGACTGTTGGATAAGCATTATGGCAAGTCATAGGCAGTGAAGACTCAAGAAGAAAGGTGACAGGTTGTTGCTGGGCAGCTTTAAAGTTGAATTTTTGGATAGCATTATTCAGAGGCAGCATGGAACCCATTAAGTATCATGCCATGTGGTAGCAAGTATGGGAAGAGAAATTATTGTTGGTGTTTCTCCAGTTCAGACTGAATAAAAAGCAAAGACACTTTGTGAGTGCAGTCCTGCTCAAGTGAAGCATGTGGAGTGTAGCTGGAGGAAGTTGGCGTTGTCAGCTATCTGGAGATAGCAAACAGGTTGAGAAATTTGAGGAGGTTTTGTTTCCCATAGTCACTTGGGCTGTCATTTGTTACTCATCAGTAAGATGCAAACCTAAACTCAAGATAAAATGAAGCTTCATTTCCTATGTCACATCTTCCTCCTCCACTTGTTGTGCATAGTTCCCACACTGAGGAGACAGTAGCACTTTGAGATTTAAGGTGCACCTGAGAAACCTGAGTTAGATTTCTTCTCCGTTCCTTCATTTGACTGAGTGTCTCTCACAGCACAGAACCTTTCTCTCAAATGCCCAGCTGAGGTTTGGATAAGCAGAATTAGGCACACAGACTTGTGAAAGCGTTGCTCTCTCCACAGACAATCCTGTTCTGTTGATATTTTTGTAGGTTTCCCATTGTGACAGAATTGCTGATGTACAACAATATCCCAGGAAAGGTAAAGGAGATTTCCTTTTACTTGGCCAAATTTCACCTTTCCCAATAGCTTTGAATATGTTCTGCCCTTCCCTTTTTAGGCTTCCTCCTAACCATGCATCCTGTGAGGAGCGAAGGAGAGAAAGACCTGCATGAAAGGCTGTCACAGTGTGTATTGCATACGGGGGCTGCTCAGAGTGATGGGCCCTCCTGTTTTCCTTTTCATGCCAGACTGCTCTAAATGACGCCCTGATAGCAAAACTGAACCAAATTGTGGAGTATCAGTATTCTTTACTTTGTGAGAAGGGTCATTTCAAAATTAGTTTTATTTTGTGAAAACTTGCTGTGCCATTTTCTTTTTTCTTCCTCAGTTTGAATATGGCTTCACAACATGCCACCTGCACATGAGGGTCAGTCGGGTAGGGGAACCAGTCCTCAGCAACTGCCATTGAAGTGTGCACAAGTGTCCCAGGTACCAAATCTGAGATTGGGAATTTAGTGTGGAGTATTGAAGCTGCTATTAAATTCCTTTCTAAGACATTGTCTGTTGGTACCTCAGAATCACATCCCGAAGTTATGTGGGCTCTTCCCTCTCTCAAAGGGAACAGTACCTACTCAGGTCATCTTTTGGTAATGGAATTTCGCCTAAGAGTGTCTGAAAAGATTCAATTCGCAGTAGAGCACATTTAGTGAACCCAACTGTTCACTGATTTAGATTATACTTTGAAGCTGCAATGCTGAGTTTGCAGGCTGACTGTTCGGAAGGGCATTGGAAGAGGTGAACACACACAAAAAACTCAGCTGGCCAAGCAGAAATCCTAGAGAACACAAGCCACTGAATTATGCTCCTTCTTAGCTCTCTGTCTTCTTTTGAAGCAAATGCAGCATAGACTACTATACTAAAGTCACACCAGTCACACCCTAAGTCACACCACCCGATCTTTAAAGAGTAACCACCACAGCAAAGTCATCATCTTCAGAAAAAGAAGGCAGCTACAAACTAGTTCAGTGTGACCACAGCTTCAAAAGAATTAAAACCTAATAATACTTGGGTGTGATCACATTAGAAACCAACTGGATTGCTTTGAAATGAAACTTGGAGACATAATGTGTAGAGTTCAGGACAAACTGCTTTTTTCCTGTTGAGAGCTGGTTGTGACTGCCGAGCTCTGGTCAATCAGTGATGAATCACTGTTTCTGAACTGGAAACTTGGTCGGCTTTTTTGGGATGGTAGAGAATTGAATTGTAGCCCATGCAACTTAATCACACCGTGTCCATTGCCAATCAAATATAGAACAGCCAATGGTAGATAGGTCACTGACTCTGGACCTTTACTTGTTACTTAGGGTGAAGAAAAAGATTCGTGTCAATATCAAAAACCATCAGTACTTTTTGGTGATAAAATATCACCTTCAAATCCAGCCCTTGTGCAAAGAAACGTGAAAGAAGTTACTTGAGTTCAAGTGTTAACAGCTTTGAAATACTAAAATTCAGTCCATACCAAATAACTGGAAGGTCACGAAGGCTTTTAAACTCTTGCTTGTGTTTTTATCCCTTTATTTGAACTGCAAATGGGTAGAATGTTCAAAGACCACATTCGTGAAAATCAGAAGTACTGTCACTGGATGCAAAAGAGAAAATGATGGGTTCTATTCTCCAATACTGCTACATTGGTTTGCCTCAGCTTGCCAACAGAATTGATGCAGGAAGGTACTTAGTGTGCTTCAGAAATAAGATGGTGTGTTTTTTTTTTGTTGAAATTTCGTTTCCGTGAGAATGAAAGGTTGTGTGGTTCAGCCTGGCTCTCAGGAGGTTGGGCACACATAACCTGAACCCTGCCAAAGACTTCACTCTCCCTATTTCAATTGAGAGAGCTTTGCCACTTTGCCTTACAGGTACCACATAGTGTTCCATGAGGTGGTGGTGGAAGGCTGCCCGAGGTCAGACAAGAGAGCAAATGAGCTTTCCTTGCTGTTTTCTTCTGCTGGTTTGGTGAAAGATTAGCTTATTACTGTTGGATGGGTCTCTGAGGCACCAGTCTCCCTCCCTGGCAAGGAGGGTAGGATTCCACCTAAGTGGCAAATGTCAAACAGGAAGTAGGAGAAGAGATAAGAAAATGGCCAAATTAAAGAGGAAATGAAATAAATTGAAAAAGAATTGTCCCCCATTAGGAGCTTAAGTTGTTTGAGTTTGTTTGGGGCTGGGCGTGGTAATGGGGAAGAAAGTTTACAAACGACCATCAGTGATATCTCACATAAAATGCATGATTGATAACAGCTCAACCACTGTCATAGTTTATACCGAAGTGTATGCATGTTCACAGTTCTACCTTTGAGCATTCTACCTTGTGTCTGATATGAGCCCTTTCACCAGCACAGGCACCCTGTGGATGGCTCCTGCATAGAACCATCTCAGATTTAAAATTCACAACATAAGGATTCTCTGGCTATGGTACAAATCGATTTGGCTTGAATTTGGCATTCTGCCTGTGAAGCATTGCACAGAGTATTAATTTGAATTGAAATGTGAACAAAAAGAACACTTGACTTTAAAATGAATCCTTCCAACAAGTTATCTTCTGTAAGAGATTGACTGAATCTACTGGGCTGATGAAAGGGTGGTCAGAGTTTAGTTCCATTCTGTGATTAATTGTAATTTATGCTACAAAGCTGCAGCATCCCTTTTGTTGTTAATCTTGAACAATTTAGAGAACAACATTCTAGACACTTCATTTGCCTTCTCTGTCAGTCATATCTCGAGCCACATTGCCAGAGATCCAGGTGATATTCTGACTTCCTGCCCTGGATAGTGGTATGAGCTGTTCCAGAGATCAGCAATATTATCATGGATTCACTCTCACTTGGCTTGTCTTCCCATGGAAGCTCACAGGTAACCGATATGACACCAAGTGCTTGTGGGAAGACATTTTCCCGTGCCGCCTGAGCAGTAAGCTCATCTGGAAATGCACACAGCACATAGATTTGTTACCTATTGAACAGACAGAGCGACTGATAGAGAAAGGCACGCAAATGGCCCTGGCCATGCAATTTGGTTGACAACCTGGTCTAAGTCCACTGTCATAACATTGTGTTCTTATTGGCCACATGTCCTCTCTCTCCTTTGCCCAATTTTCATCCATGTTGTTGCTTATGTTTTTTTTCTCTGCCATGGAACGCCTTACTTCGACCCCTATTTTGTCTGTTTTGTGTTCAGTCACTGCCCAAATCCATCAGACAACAGTGGAGCTTGAACTAAAACTGCCTTCCAAGGATACTTTGCAGATTGGAATAATTCTGCTTTTATACTACACATTTCTTCACTCCCTGTCACCCCATCTTGACTAGGTAACTCTAAGACTTCACATCTTAATAAAGAGCTCATAATGAGCTTGAACAAGCACAGAGTGTGAATGTCCAAGATGAGAGACTGTCAAGAACCTATGTGTAGGCTCCCTTGGTTGAACAGTCACTGTACATTCTCCAACAACCAAATAGGTTACGCATGATGAATAAATAGGGTGCTAGACCTGCATCCCAATACTTCACAGGGACAAAGCTGTCAGAAGGGGCAAACGTTGAAAACCTTCTAACTTGGCCACTATCCTGAGCATTCATGAGATTGATGTTAATTTTTTTGTGTCTTTGAAATGCAGCCTTAAATTTTGAGAAAGGGATACTGCAGCTCAGCACTTGTACCTTAAGTCATATAATTTGTACTTTTTTCAGGATTTGAGACATTTTGTTTTCTTGACAACGTCCTTTAAAGACATTGACCATTAGACTTAGTCTTCAGGATTGTGTACCTGATCTGGACCTGGTGTTAGGAAATGTGCCACATGTGCAACAAGTCACAATTTCTTGTTCTTTTTTTTCTTTTTCTCGTGTTGGTCTCTATTCAGAAAAGGAAGTCAAGTTCCAGTGTTCAATTAATGGTGAGGACCCTTTTGAAATTTCAATTCACTTCACGTTAATTTTATTTATTCTTTTTCCCCTTTCCTCCCTGCCAGGAGATGACATTGTGTGTTTACAGCTTTTCATGATTTAAGTCCCAATCAGAATAGAAATACTGAAGTCTGTGCATGTTGACAGCAATTAGAGATCCACTTGGTAAATGGCATTAAACTGACCTAATGCCTCCTTCCTCTGTCTCTCTGTCTCTCTCTCTCGCTTTCTTCTCTTTGTCCATATGCTTTTCACAAGATTCAATAATGCCCTTTGTGTACTACCACTGCAATTGACAGTGGAATTAACATCTCAGTTAGATAATTCAACTGATTCAAAGTAACCAAAGCAGCAGCCAAGTGATTAGGTTGGATGCTTTGCTCCTCCTTGAACTTTGTGTGTTTATTTATTATTAACATCTGATTCTAATGTTCAAATTCCTATTGTAAATGATCACTGACTGTTTTTGATAATTTTATGCTACGTTACATTCTTGAGATATGTGATCAGGATTGGCCATCAAATTATTTTCCAGTCACCAACAACAGACAAATCAGCTAACCCTCTGGAAATCATCATATGTAGTTTTTAATTATTAAACTTTCAGAAATTGCCAAAAACTATGCCTCCCCATCAAATTATGAAGAAAGATTTGTGCTTCTATCATGCGATTCATAACCTCAGGTTGTCCCAAAGCACTTTACAACCATTGAAACGTAGTAACTGTCCAAGTGTCTAAGGTAACACAGTATCCAAGTCATGCAAAGCAAACTTACACAAAGAGCAATGTGATAATGACAGTCTGTTTTGGTAATGTTGTTTGAGTGATAAATGATGTCTGAGACAATGGAGATGTTCTCCACTGCTGTTCTTCAAAATAATACTGTGATTTCCTTTCTGTGTACTTGACAAGCTGAAAACTAAAATTGTGAGCTCTCCTCTGCCCCTTTGAGATTTTGACTTGGCATAGAGACTGTATCCAAATTCCATCTATTCATAGTCTCTGTCCTTGTTCTCACATTTCCGGTAATCTTGCTTTAAGGACAAGCTGTCTAAGGATAATTCTTTGCAGCAAATCTTTCATCTTAGAGCAATGAGGCTGAATCCTTGCCTGACCGAAAATTGAATGCAAACTTTTGATAGCACCATGAGATATGGCCAGAATATCATTGAATGCAATTTTATGCTGCAGGTCTGGACAGGAAGAAGCCACTTGACTTGCTGCTTACATCAACTGTTTCCTTTGTTGTTGATCTACATCCCTTTTGAGATCCAAATTATGAGAAAAATAATTTTATGGAACACCTTGCTTGGTCCTGCAGAAAGACCCTGAAGTATTTGACATGTAGTCAATGACTTTGAAATACAGTCACCTATATAATTAGATGTGGCAGTCAGTTTCTGCACAGTGGGACTCATAACCACCCAACATGACTTTTGTCATTTTGACAGGAGTGTTTGGAGGAGGAGTATTGACTAGGGCACTTCGACCTTGTTTTAACAGTATCATGGGACTTACTAATATCGACTTGACCGAGTACTGAAGACCTACATTGTTCAAAGAAAAGCAGAAAGTGCGAGACAAACTCAACCAGGCTGCAAGCAGCAGCTTTGGAGAATCATATTGGACTGAAAACGTTAATTCTGTTTCTCGCTCCACAGATGCTGCCAAGACCCTGCTGATTTTCTCCGACACTTTCTGTATTTACTTCTGATTTCTAGCATCCTCAGTATTTTGCTTTTATCAGCATTCTTCATGTCTCCTCCAGAATCTTCATGTCTCCTCCAGTAATGCAGCACTCCTTCCAAGATTGTGCTCAACACATCAAGTTGGGCTCAAACTCAAAATTTTCTGAGGTGAAGGCTTTGAGCCATTCTGAACTAATCGGAATACTGGTGATTATTTGAAAGGTCAGACACACAGGCAATACAGTCCTGGCTCCAACAAGAACAGAAATTGCTGGCGAAACGCAGCAGGTCTGATAGCATCTGTGGGAAGAAAGCACCATTAATGTTTTGAGTACAGTGATCCTTCAATCAGGGTTTTGATGAAGGGTCACTGGACTTGAAACATGCGCTGTGCTTGCTTCCCACAGATGCTGCCAACCTGCTGAGTTTTGTCAGTAATTTCTGTTTTTGTTTCAGATCTCCAGCATCCTCAATTCTTCATCTTATTTCAGTCCTCCAACCTTGGACTCCAGTGTCAACTCATGTGATTTATCTTGCCCCAAAACATTGAGTAGTTGTCAAAAGTCCCATGTCAAAGGGAAGCAAATACAGTGTCAATCATGAAGTGGCTATGTGCATATCTAGTATTTCAGTAACTAAAATGAACACCTTATTGCTCATTACTATTGGAATGGATAGGAATGATGGATGTACTAAGTACAACTACTCAGAGAAATATGCCATTCAGGACTTGAGGCGAGCTGTTCTACTAAGGTATCAGCAAGTATTGTGTTTTGTCTCTGATATCTGAGTGTTCGAATGAAATACTTGTGGTCACCAAAGCCCCCTGGTTTTCTGTATCTCATGTCCCGTGTTTCAAAGCAACAACTTTGGTACTGAGAGATCATGCACACCCAATCACTTGGATAGCTGAGAATTTTGTATGGTCTTCAATCCGAAAAATTTCTGTTGTAAAGTGAAAGCAATTGACTAAAAAGCCATTCTCTGCCATGCAACACAATTTCTGACTTGATTGGATTTGCACTCGAACTCACTAGTTCAGCCACTCATTTAGAAGTCCAGATAGTTCAGACTGAAACACTGATTCTTTACTCAACTCTAAAATTCAGGAGGTGTTAGTTTGTCAGTCCCTGTGTTCGAGATATTTAGGGTTATGGGACCAGGCGGGTAAATTGAGTTAAGATGCAGATCACTCCTGATCTATCAATGTCATGAACAGCAGAAGATGTTCAGGGGAACAAATGGTTACCTCCTGTACCTATCACATGCTTTTGCAGTTTGCCATGTGGATTCTCTGTGATGCTTGGTGGGCACATGTCGTAGGTCTTGCAAGAATAGTTCGAATAGTTAACGTTGATCAGCCCATAATTGTGCTCAGTCCTAGGAAATGAGCACAATTAGCCAAAATTGTGCCGGTTTGTGAATTGAGATAAAAATATTTTTAATTGAAACATGATTTTCTCCAAAGAGCGGCAGTTCCAGAGTGTATTTTAGAGGATGGTAGTTGAAATTGAATGCTCGTTTTTCTGTGAAGGTCACTGGCTTCCAGCAGTACCACACTACACAACTGAGCTCCAAGTTGTCCCGGAATGACTGTTAGCTTCTGTCTTCCATTCCACCCTGCTTGGAGCAATCCAGCTTCTGTGCAGTGTTGGTCACTGGAATCTGAATGAGAAAGATGAACTTAACAACACAAAATTCATGCATTTATAAATTGCCTTTTATAAAATAGAATATCCTTTGACAGAATTGATCCTCAAACAAAATTTGACATTGAGCGACTTAAGGGGCAGATAGATAGAAATGCATGGATAGAATTCCTATCTTGTTCCAGAAAACAGGGTTTAAATGGCTGAACGCAAAGAAAGTAGGTAAGTACAGAAGAGGTCAAAGCTCAGGGGATCACAGGGTTGTTGAACCAAAGGAAATTATAGAGATAGGGAGATGCAAAGCCATGGTAGGATTTGAACAGGAAATTGAAGATTTTATTCTTGAAGTGTCTGTATTTGGAACCACTTTAGGTCAAAGCATCATGTTGGTGGGTGAATGGCAGTCACTAGGTTATGGCTGTAAATGAGCAATGCTTTCTTTGCTTTGCATCGAGTCCTGCAGCATGTGTCGCTCCTGTGACACCACACAACTAAACTTGGAGAATGCTGCTAAGTGAAATGGGATATTAGAGCAAAGGAAGAAAGGGCAACTTCTGTCCTCATAGCAAATGCTGTTAAGAGTTTTTTAAACTAGTGTGCTGCCTTTTTGTTGGGAACCTGACTGGCAATGGATTTGTTATGATGCTTTTGTAGTTCAAATGTTAATTCTTGGTATTTGTCAAAATATTTAGAATGAGGAAAAGTTTCTTTTGAAATCTAAGCCTGAAATCCCAGAGAAGTTATTCCAGCAGTTTTGTGAACACCTATAAATGCAAGAAGAATGCATGTTGAACCCTTGAGCTGATCCTTACATAAAGCATTCTCCTCCTTTCACTTGCCAAGTGACTCTGCCATCATTCTCCAGCATTTTCATTGACTTTAACCCAGAAAATAAAAAAACTTCTCATGGCTAGACCAACACACATTCTGTTTCATGTTTAAGTACAGATTCTGACCAAAAGGCCAAGAAACTTTCTGTGTCAGTGTTACATCATTGGTAAATGAACTGAAGCTTATAGTTTTGGCAGTCAATTTCGTGGTAAATCTGTGGACTTGGAGCTAGAAGGTCGGAGTTGTGTTGAAAAATGCACTGAGACTGACCTGACAGGCAATTTTGGATTGGATTAAATTTGAAAACATTGTACCCAACTGATTGATTACTTCTGATCTGTTTAGAAAATCCTGGTATACTTTCCTGCTGCATCTGGCTGATGCCTTGCATCAAAAGTCTCCTTTCAGCCTTGTGCAGTGGCAGGGATGGCAGTTGACAAGAGAATTTTTGAGGATTGACTGCTGTGACTACCCCCTGAGTAATGAAAGACCGATGAAGACCATGCAAATCAAATACAAAACGCTGAGTTTAGACAACATTATGTAAACTTATATACCTTCTACTTTGGAAGGAATGTACTGCCAGTTCGTGTTTTTTGTTTGAAATTATGTGGCGCCCTAATAAAAGGCGAGACCTTAGCCCAGCTCTCACAGCAGGAAGGTCTACAATTGCAACATTTCCAGTGGATCTGGAAAGACTTATTAATGAAGCTATTCACTTACCTGTAGGTAATGTTAGGTAAAATTAAAAAAAGATAGCAGTTCTCTGCCAGTATCTTGGAATAAGGTTTCATGTCCACATTTTGGGAAAAAGTGATCCAACCAAGATCTTAAATAAAAAGCAAAATTTGTTTATCCTTTGTTGGGTGACTTGATTTTGGTCCAAATATTAGATATCAAGTTTATTCATGTGCGAGTATATATAAAGCCCTACTTCTGCAAGTATGGAAATGAGCAATTTCTGATCATCCATGTTATTTAATAAAAGAGATTGTGCTTGGCAGCTTTGTCAGATCACCGTTATTCATTTTACTCAGTTTATAGGGTTTGACAGTTCTGACTGGTCAAATTTGGCAAATGAGGAATTGTGAAGCAATACTGGAAATGGTGTGTCACTGACTTTGGTGTTCATAATTCTTGCTTTTCCTTGTCCACAGAGATTGAACTGTCCATTGTACTACTAGAACCTATGTGTCCTATGGAACACAGCTCCCACAATTGGTAAAATAAATCTCAAATTAACAGACTCGATATGATTAATATACTTAAAATTTGTGTACCTTGCTTTTTGTGGCTCACATTTAGGAGCCAATTCATAAAGTACGAAAGCGAACCTGTTCCAACCAACCAGCAGTAGTTGTTCACGGCTGGATCAAAGTAAGTCCTGTGACAGTTCAATATCTGCCGCCTCAGCTTGATCTCCTGGCCCAGGCGGGCTAGGAGGTAAAAAGTGGACGTGAAATCAACCTAAATCCTCTGTTGTTTTCTGCACAGCCTCAGACAAACAGCACCAAAAACAACGTAGTAACCAGTCCTAAAGGAAACATTCCCTGCCCTGCACTGGTATTGGTTCTCTTCTTCTTCTACCATCTTCTTCCAGAGGCACTGGTGAAACATGGCTAGAATGTGAATTAACTTGATTTAGAGACCACACTTCGAAATTGTATGGAAGGGTTTATGTCTTTAATAGCAGTTGTTTCAAATAGCTGTCCCTATTTTGTCTCCTTCAAGGAACCTGGACATTTCTTCCTTTATCTTGCCAGAGCAAACAGTTTACTGCAGCTTTGCAAAATGCAGTACTGCAGGACACAGTTTCTATTGAATTGATAACTAAGTTGCCAGAAACTTGAACTGTTGTGTGCAGTGAAATCCAAGTATGTTTGATGATTTTGTTTTCTTCCCCATGACATCACCAAATGAATAGTGAACATTTCAAGTTGTGTTGATTTGAGTTAGTTGCTAAGCATTTATGTGGACTTGGTGCCCATATTGCATGGGCCCAATAAAAGAAAGCCATGTTTCATTAATACCTCCTGTATTAGTTGGCTTGTTGTTACCTTGTTCTGACTTTTCCTTTTGCTGATGACTGTGATATGATTATTCAGAATGTAACGGGTATGTCAGTAGGAAAGGACATGCAGTGACAATTATCATTGGAGATGAACCTTTTGTCTAAATTTGAAACAAAATTCTGATCCAACCTCCTGATCAATATTTTGGAACATTGGCAATTAATGGAACACTTGGCTCAGTCAAAGGAGCATTTTTCTGTGCATGTCCTTTTGGTTTGTTGTGATACAAAGAGCCAGAGTAATGTTTGTTTGGCCTCTGTCTTTGTGCTTAGATGCAACAAGGGTTGAGCAAAAAGAGCTACAGCCATGATTAAGAGAAGAAAAACTGAGATGACCCCCAAATAAATATAGCAAAAATGCACAAAACTGAAGTGCGGGTGAAATAACTACTGCCTTAATGTTCAAAGCCTACTGACAATCCAAACTTTACATTGGCAGGGTTTTTACTTGGCTCTTGTTTAATGCATATTGATGTTTTGGTCTTTCGAAGGGTTTTTTCCAGCATTTGGCAATGTATACGTTCTGAAATGTTCGTGAATGTTATTCACAATTTATTGTTAAGACTTGGCCCAAGTATTTAGAATCTGAGGGAGGGTTTCTTTGAGCCATTTAACTGCTGCACATTCCATCCTTGGTCAGGCCTGTATTTTGTTAGTAAATATGTTTTAGTCATTAGCACTGACTTGAAAAAACAAGAACCTCATCAGCTGTGTGAAAGGTCATTGGAAGTGCTTTATGGTGCTGGTTCTGTTCCTGTATGAATCTGAGAGTTCAAATGGCAGTTTGAGCATTTTAAACTCCATTAAAAAGGGAATGTGGGAATAAGAAGAGACTGTGAAACTGTCCTATTATTGACAAAATCTTACTGGTACACTCTTTTACTTCAGGGAGATGGACTGTCCTCATCAGGTCTAGCATTTCTGTCACAACAGTTCTACACTGTAGGAGGCTTTCAACGTCTCCCTGAAGTGGTCTACCGTGTCACTCCATTGTATCAAACCAGAAGATCCTCCTGCTTGTAGAGATATGCAGAGGGTTTGAGAGATGGTTAGAATTTTAGTGAATGGGTAGGCTTCCCCCAGCCTCAAATTTGGATGGGTTGTTTCAGGTCATCATGCGGTTATTGTAGTCAGGACGGGAGAGCTGGTGATCTTTCAGACACTCACTCTTAATGGCAACGGCTCCAGTCTACTGTCTGTTTTTTGCATAAATCCCCTGCTCTCGTAATCGCTCCAAAGAGTGCTTGGCCAGTATGAGCATGTACGCCACCCCTACTCAATCAGTGCTGAGGTATTATCTGTCTGTGCTGTGTTGCTCCCCACTTTGTGCTAACAGCCTCCCTTACCAAACCAGCCACAGTTCATGTGGTATTGAATGTCGAGAAACTGCGAGTTAATGCAAATAGAATCGATTTTCATTCTAATTGGACCCTTGTGGCAGAAAAGATAAGACCAAGCCGTGAGCCAATTTATGATTTTGTGTTAATTGTAAGTTGAAATATTGATATAGGTTAATTTGTAAATCCTCAGCTTGATCCAGTTCCGTACATTTCCACCGTTTATTTATCCTGTGATTAGCAGATATTGCCATGATCTGTGTGATAGCTTCACAAGGGAGATTCATTACCAAGCGTGTATTTCCCAGTCTAGCACTTGGCATGGAATGCCCCTCAATGGGTTCTCTGTTAATGTAGCCGGTGCTACTTGGAGACGAAATGTACTCAACTTTATGATGTGTCTTAGTCTGGTAGTTCCTTAAATCATCACAGTTGTTATCAACAATTGTTTCCTTCCACCCTTCCCATCCCCCAAGAGAATTCAGAGAGGACCAAGTTCCGAGAGCACTCTCTAGTGACGGATAAATCAACCTTTTGAGGGTCCCCTCACAGACATGTATCATCCCATCCACTGGCTGCTGGGGGTATGAGAGGGATCCCTACAGGCAGCTCTTTAAATGAGCTGATCTGAAACCAGACATGCTAACCCTCCGGGTTGCATTATTGAGCTGGATCTTTCACACAGTCGCCAAATTTCTTGTGCACTGTTTGGTCTCATGCCACCTTTTGGTCTACCTGAAAAAATATCATTCAACCTGATTGTACTGGTTCTAACATTACTGTGGGACAGGTGAGACTTGAGTTCAGGCTTCTGGCCCAGAGGTAGGATAACTGCCACTGTGTCACAGGAGTTTCCAGTTTCTCCCCTTGCATGAACTTAAAGTTCACTGTTCAGCGACTGCAAGTCAGTGCAGGTTAGTTTTTCTTTGTTCAAACAATATCATACATCTCATTGTAATTCAGTACCTGGCATGGGAGATGTACTCGGGGCTGGTGGTGAGGTGAGCTGGGGTGTGTCAGTCCTCACTGAGTGAAACTGATGTTAGCACCGTTTTAATTCAGTCGTCAAAGCTACTCCAATGTCCAAATCAAGCTGCCGTTTGGTCCCAGCTGTGGGAATATTGAGTACTGAATTTGCAACTTAGAACAGGAATCAGTTTAAGCAGCATAGTCAAGTCATCCCATTCAAATCATAATTTGCAGTTCTTTCATTTTTTTTATCCATTTCTAGCCACTCAAGACTGTATTTGTGTATTTAGGTAAAATTCTACAGGAGACAAGTGCCGAGCTTTTTTCTCTTCTCTCTGCTTTTTGCTTTTTTTCCTCAATCGTTTCTGCTTCTCTGTTTTTTGTTTGGTTTAAAACCCTCTTTTCTCCACACTAAAATTTCCTTTTCTATATCTGCTTTCACTCTCTTTAGGAACCACAAACTACTGTCATCCATAATCCTGTGGATGGGATAAAGGTACCATCTGTCTGTGCTGTAGTCTTTCCCATCTTTGGAATCTTCCTTTGTCAAGTTCTGTCATAGAAAATGTATCCCTGTTATGAAGCAAGAGTTCCAGGTTCTGATTTGTGTTTTTGATTTACAAATATTGAGGATCTCCCACCTGGAACTGGTTAGACATCCACAAGTGAGTAGGGAAACTGAAGAGCAGGGTTTTGTCCTTTCATCAGCCCTCTGGTACGCTGAAGATGAAGATTTCCATTTTCTTTGTCATCCTTAGATAAATTTGGCAAACATATCTTAGTTATTTGTCAGTTGTCGAATCCTTAATCTGCACTCACACCTCAACGTAAAACAGACAGTTAATGAGCATACTTTGGTTTGCAGGCAGATTCAGTAGTATTTCAAGTGAAACTGAAGAAATGTTATTTCATCATTGATTGAAATGCATTGAAAGTTTTGAGATGGTTAAGTTCCAACATTGTCCTGTAATAGTAAAACAATTTGACAAGTTTTGTTCCTGTTGGGTCTAACTCCCCATTTGTTTCATACGCAATGACATTTCTGTGTTTTGAGCTGTAATTACTGTAGATATAAACTATTAGCTAGAGCATGTGTGGCGAGAGTCATGAGTTCTGCTTCTGACTGGTCCCGTTGAATCCAACTTGTGGCACAAGATTCAAAATTCCCAAAATGCATAATTCTAGGATTTGATTTTTAAGAAAAACTTTTTGAATGATATGTAATCTTTACATCTGAAATAAGTGCATATATGTTGGAAGTGCACAAATACCAAAGCATTCAGAGAGTTAGAACAACAATAGATAGGAATTGCTAATATCAATGTGAAATAGAGTTTGAAATTGATTTGGCATGTAATGCAGAGACATCCCTTGCCAACTGTAAAGTTAGTTTAAAACTTGTCACTCCACTCTGACAAGCTGAGAACATTAACATCTCGCCAGCTTCCCTTCTTGCAATCTTTTGCAGTTAATCTGCAGGAAAATTCTTAAAACTTTAAAAGGCATCAGTCTTTTATCAAGAGCTTAGAGTGACTGGCTAGCATTATTGGTGGCTCTGACTGGAACAGTTGTTTTATTAAGTCTTGCCTGACCAAGAGCCTTTTGCACAATGAGATCTTCAGAGTGCATAGCGTTGAACTTATTGAAAAAATAATTGTCAGATGGCACATTGGTAATCTCAATATGCACTTGGATCCTGTTGTCCCTCTTGCTTCAAGTTGGTTTTCTGAGAATAACAAGTTACTGTTGAATTCATGCCCACTAAACTCGTGACTTGTTAAAGATCTAAATTCTTTGCTAATCTTACTTCCCTTTTCACCTCACCAAAATTATTCAAAGGCAGTAAATAGGACACTTGTGTTCAGAAAAAATGCATGATTCAAATTATTAAAAGTAGCTGCTTTATTCTTCTCTGCTTCGTGATCATGCTTTCTCCTGCTCTATTTCACTCAAGCTTTCACATAAATGCTTTTCTTTTTTCTGCACTGAGTTCAGTATTTGTTCTGTTAATTTAGAGTTCAGGTGATGAAGACACACATGGCATTGCAAGTAAGACTCTTTCTGTTTTGTTTGCAGGAGTCTTCTGACAGCAGTAACACGACTATTGAAGATGAAGATGTTAAAGGTGAGCAGTACATTGAAAATGTGCCATTGCAGGGCTTTGGAGGGTAAACTGAGGTGTGCTGCATTTGTTCAGCCGGTTTTCAAATTGGATAAAATGCTCCATGACCATCAAAAGCTCAAAATGAAGTGACAACTCATTCAGGTTTGGTTTTCCATTTCACCTGTTCATAGGTGGGGCTGTAGCGATCAGAAACAAAGCTTTCTCCTCCTGACAGCTTCAGTCACAGTACTGAGTACTTGGAATCATGAACAGGATGAACAAACAGCAAGATTTTGAGCTGCCATAAATCTGAAATGAAATAGAAATTGCTGCAATGACTTGAGCAGCATTTGTGCTTAGAGATAAACGTTTTTGGTGTGGACGTTTTAACAGAAGTGATAGATATCACTGAGGAATTGCATTTTAACAGGAACAAACCTGAGTGCGAGGAAGGAAAAGCAAGGAACAGAAGACCAGAAAAAGTAACTTGTAAATGGTTTAAGTTAGCAACCAATGTTGAAGTCTTAGATCAGTCATAACCTTGTGCAATGGCAGAGAATGATAAAGGGTCTGTCTGGCCTATTCTTTGTGTATTTTGGAGATAAAGAGATGGAAGTATTGACATTGGTGTGAGAGAACAAAGAGGAAAGAGGGAAATATAGCATGTAAGGATTGACAAAGCATCGCAGTGACCAGCAAGCTTAGTGCCTGATAGGTGGTCGGTAAAAATGCAGACCATCTTGCCAGTGCAGTTGAGAGAAAGGCTTCCAATTTCTGTTTGCAACCATCCCACCCCGAACCACCACCCCAGTGTGTGATTGTCAGAAATGCCAGCACATCCATCTTATTAAAATTTATTTTTTTCATAGGACCACCATTTGTTAACCATTCAAAATTGCCTTGAGATGGTGGTCATGAGCCTTGGTGAACCACCGCATCCACATAATCTCAAGCAGAGCACAATGTTGTTACTAAATTTTAACACTGCAGCATTTCCTGCCAGAGAGAAAATTGAAAGTACAGGTCAAGTGTGACATTATTAAAATCAATATTTTATATTAGACAATAACACAGTCTTTATTCACATAGTTTGATTGTGCTTTTGCATCTCCACATTGTTTGGAAAAAAAGTGCTGAGGCTGAAAGAGCAGTATGACAGCAACTAAGATCCTTGCAGAAGTTCAAGCAAGATCAAAGCAAGAGCTTGAGGAGTGAAATTTCAAGTCAGAACAGAGATGTTCATCCAAACTGCATTTGGTATTGTGATATAGTGAAGTGTTGAGCAAGAGCAGCACTGATTGTGAGCTGGATTCGATGTTTCTGGGAATTGTTTGGAATCCTGGATGGTCTTGTTTCACCACTGATCTTGTGCTGTAAGGTGCTGGGGCAGATAGTCCTGTCGAAGAATGAAGTGTGGATATGTGGGGGAACAGATTGTTTTGGAAAGTGGAGAATGAGGGGCAGCTGTGTCTTTAGATCGTGTAATCACTTTGCAAGTGGTGAAAATAGCATATAAAAATATATAGGAAACATATAAATATATTAGGCCTGTTAAATGAGGAGGCAGAGGAGTAGAAAATGAGAGTAAAGGGAAGCAACACAGCTCTGGAAGGAAGAAGAGAAACCGGAGAAGTTCAGTATACAGACTGAACAACCAGGATTGTTTTCTTTTAAAAAATACCTTTTGGAAAATCATATATGGTAGGTGGAATCAGCAGAGACATTGCAGTCAGAAGGAGGAACAGCAGAGGGTGCGGGCATGAAGCAGGCTGGGAAGAAGTATAAGCTGGATGTTTTAAGTATTCTTCGACAGCACGTGGATGTCACTGGGTTTGCCGGTATGTTAAATTTAGTTGACCTGGCAAAGGTGGTGATGACCTGTATTTGGAATTGCTGCTTTTGCATCTAGACTGCTTCAGCACCCTCAGTGCTCAAGATTTCCAAGATTTTAACCCAGTGACATTGAAGGAAAATAACTTGAATCCGGGATGTTGTGTGGTTTGGAGGGCAGCTTGTAGCTTCCTATGCATCTGCTTCCCTTGTTGTCCAAAGTGGTCAAGTTCACAGGGTCAGAAAGTGTGTTAAGGAGCTCTGGTGACTGCAGTGCCTGTTGTGCATGCTACACACTACTGCCACTGTGCATCATTGGTGAAAGGAGTGAACGTTGAAGGTGGTGGATGTGGTGCTGCTTTGTCCGATGGTGTCACGCCTTTTAAGTGTTGTTGGAACTGCAGACAAGTGGAGAGTAATCCATCACACTACTGACTTGTGCCTTGTCGGTGATGGTGGATAGGCTTCAGGGAGCGGATATGTAAGAAGAATAGTGGCATGTTCAGCAACTGAATGACGAGGTAGTAAGTAAAGGTACTTAAGAAAATGGAAGAAGGCCTGGGAATTAGAATTACAGTGTGGATTAATAGAAACTTGAAATACTAAGGCCATTCCATCTGTCAGGCCTGTCTTGGCTCTTTGTCAGAGCTGGTGCACTTGGTAACCTGCTTGCATTATCCTTGGATTATATTCGGTCATGATTGCTAAAATGATGCAGCAGGCTGAAGGGGATGAATAGCCCATTCCTACTGGTGTGGAACTTTGTAGTCAGTATGTATATGCTTCGATTTCTGATTTTACTGTCATAACTCATGCCATTCTGTCATGAGTGAGACTCATTACATCTCCTCGAAGATACAGCTTTAAAAATTATCTAAAATTGTGTTTGAGGGCTTTGCATTCTGTTTCAGGTTGGAAATAAATGTGATTGAGTAAAGAATGAGTATCTGATTGTAATGATACCATTATTTGAGGAGGGAATGAATGAACATCCACACTGCTGGAGAAGAGAGCTCAGCATTATGGTTTCTCTCAGAATCCAAAAATGACAGAGTGACCTTCCCAGCACTGCCGTTGTTTCAGATCTAGTCACTTCAGTTTTACCTGTTAAATTTTGCTCACTGTCCTGTTAGAACTGTCCATAGACATTACTTAGTTGGTGTACAGTAACATTTGCAATGGATGCGAACAGTTGGGTTTCCATTATAGCTTGTTTTCACTTCAATTGCTCATAAATTTTGTCACGACTCCCTGGGATAGTGTGTTGAAAATCGAACCTCACTATTCCCGGAAATCATCACGAGTTCAAGTTTTTTAAAGAATTATTCAAAATCGCCAAACTGCCTGATATTCAGACCCAGGTTGGTAGAACAGGATTAGATTTCTGCACTTCACAAAACAAATCACTCCTAATTGCCAGTCATTTCTAACTGCAGGTAAATAATTCAGCAAAATTAAGTAAATTCTACAAATTTAATTCTAAATCCCTTTTAAACTTCCTGTTTCACTAAAACACACAGACCAACAAAAACCAATGGAGAGATGGATGACTGGGAAAACAGTTCCATAGTCTTTGTCCATAAGATCTGTTAGGTTGGATCTTACTGATGAGCAGATTTCTTCTCGACATGGCTTTCTCTGAATGCTTCTACTGGTTTGCAGGCGGCACAGGGTAGCTAATTAGGGTCTCTGACTTGCCAAATTTCAAAGTCACAATTGAAGCATCTGCTGATGCAGAGAGAAGCTGGCTTCCTTCAGGTTTAATGTGGCTTCGTGCAGACAACTCGGAGAGAGAATTTTTGACTGCAGTTTATCTGCATGGTTTCTCTTCTGTTCTAACTTTGTTGCTCTGTCTTAGTCTGAGCGTCAGCTGTTAAGCTATCTGGCAACCTATCACTTAGCAATTGGCAGGCAGAGGACTTGTATCATTGATAACTGGCTAGTAGTGCATGAACCCAACAACTTCATTTGTAAATAACCCCTTGCCTTCAGTTCATCTGTGCCCTGCAGGAACCCCCACCAAACAGACAGGGTTCATCTTGGTTATCAGATTCCTTGTTTTCAAAACAAGCTGCCATTTGTGTAAATCCCTGGCTTTCAAAACAGTTCTTTCTCATTTCAGTCCACAGTTTTAAAAAGCTCAAAATAAAAAAATGCTGTCTTTACAACTTGTTGCTACATGCCAGTCAGCCAGACCCTGCCTTGATGACCAGTGTCTGAATTGGACTGCTGATTTTACAATTCAAACTGATGTGTATAAGGATGGCATTCAACTTCATTGCACACTTTTTGGAGGTAGAGGTAACCAGGAATTTTTTTCAGTTGTAAATGCAGAGAAGCAGACTGGTTTAAGAAGGAAACTAAGTCTGATTTGAGAGCTGATATGAACCAGGATGAGCTCAGCACCCCGAAAAGTTTTCGCTCAAGTCCCAAACAGAAATAGCTTAAAAATGTCATTCCTGTTGTTGTTCATGTTCATCTATTCCTTAAAGAGGAGGGGTATTGATGGTAAATTGTGACATCGGGCAGGAAATCTACTCTGTAGAGTACTGCTGCAAAGTGTGTTAAAAATGCAACCTCACTCATTAGCAAGATCATTGTGGTTTGGTTGAACCTCAGCATGCTCTCGCAATATTTGAGGGAATTCTGATGCCTGTGGCATGCACCGATGAGTCCATCAAATTATTTCATAGACCCAAGGGAGATTAGATTGCAATTGCAATTAGAACCAGGTAAATTAGTTTCAGTGTGATCTATACCACATGCTGTCACAGTTTGTTTGTTCCTGAGGGGCTGACAGACTTAATTTGTCTTTGTGAAACTGATGGGAAGGTTCAGGGTCCTGCTTTTAGATTTTCCTGTTTGTACGATAACCATTGGCCCTTGGCTCATGTATATATTATATAAATATATATATATATGTGTGAATCTGGTGCCAGAATTTCACAGGTTGTGTCAGTGTAATTTACTCATGGTGGTCCTGAAAGACTTGGAACCATTTCAGTGTTACAAAGACCCAGAAATGACAAACCAGGCTAAATTACTTGTTCTTGAAAGAAATTCAATAACTTTGCCAAGGCTAGTGGAAATGATGCTGACCCTGACTTGACTGTTGCTACTTTTTCAATTCTGTTCCAACTCTACCTGTTTGAATTCCCCACCTGTCTCCTCCCTTATGGTTAGCTCCAAAC